TGGCACTCAGGTGGAGCAGACACCAAGTTGGTGAGTGGTGGAGCAGCGGTCACCAAGATGTCTTAAGGTCTCCGAGCAACATGTGTGTTATCTACCTTCCTATAATATTTTTCCCATTTTTTTTGTGGGAGAGGAAAGTCTTTTCTCCTTGCCCTGGATAAATGTGGCTTGATACTGCTATGACAGAAAGATAAGATCCTGGTCGGGCACCAATGACTACTCAGTACAAGAAGGAGGTTTAGAAATGAGTGTAGCAAAGATGAGCAAAGCTTGGGGAAAAGATGGTGCTAGAGGGCCCCATGGAGAAAGAAGCTTGAAAGCTGTGGATTGGAACAAGGAAGAGAAACTCACTCTCCCGAAGAGATCTTTTGGACAGTTTTCTTATTGCTATTGCTTCCTGCACACACACACAAACAAAGCAAGACATAGAGCAATGGTCCCTCCAATTTGATATCCTGTTTCTGATGCTGAGTGACATCTGAGTCTTCTGGTGAGCCCCAAAACTGATGGCCTTGTATAAAACTCTCTTGAAGAAAATTCTGCTAAATCCCAGGCATTTAGTGTCTGGGTTATAGCCTGGAAGGATCCCATCCTCATCTGTTGTAAGCAGATCTCTACAGGCTTGTATCAGCAAAAGGCCTGAGTTTGACCTCCCCTAGTCCATATAACCAAATGATCAGATCTTTATGGATCAAGAACAAGTTTTTGAATCCTGGGAAGTTTTTTTTCCCCTCAGAATCTGACTTCCAGAGACCAGTTACACATTCTTCACAAGAATGTCCGACCAATTATATATGTACTGCATTTCTTTGATGCTAATTAGGTGAATTCCACCTTCTTTAGCATGAAAAGGGAATACCTATGTGTCTCTATCTGTCCTGCACATTCTCTCATCTCCCTGGCTAAATCTTCCATCTAAACCAAGCAGTTCTGATTTTCTTCCAACTCAAAACTGTACCAAATCCTCTTAAATAAGTATTTATCCCTTTCTATTTCTATAATTTCCTTTTCTTTTGCTGGCAAAGGACCAGAGGTGATGTCAGCTCTGCTACGAGTGCAGCTGTTGGCGGCACAGGTCACACTGCATGCTAATCACATGAATATTTACCCAGCTTCTTGGAGGGGTTTTGAAGCTACTCTCAGAGCCCTACTCAAGCAGCTAGTTTAAAGCTAGCTTGGTTTGGTCTGCAACATGCTGCAATGTCCCGTTATAAAACTCACAATAATGTTAATCACTTCCTTTTTCTTACCAGAACCTCATGTCTTATTTATTTAATTTATTATAACTGTGACTGCACAACAAGAAGACATTTACATAAATTCATTTGTAAGAATGCCTAAGTGGTTACAGTTAATTAGTGCTGAGGATGTATGAGAATTTGAAGCTGTGCTTTCCAGTGTGCGCTACCAGCAACTTGCACAAATTAAGAATCCTGCAAGAATCTTTGCAATTTCTGTTAAAATCATCTAAGCATCTTTATTCATCAAAATAACTCTAGGCAGTACATGGAAATACTCTTGGATGCTTGGCTGAAAGTGAAATGTTGTGCTCGATGCATACGTACCTTTGTATCCCAGAATGGCTACTGTGATTGTTAACAGGGCGCATAAAATATATAATAAGATGATGGAAAACTTCAATGCCCAGTTATTTTTACATTTGGTACATTGTGTCCCCTCCTGAATACCTGCAAAAGAAGATTTTAAGAATTTTAAAACAGCAGCAAAGAACACATTGCTTGTTTTACCTGCCCATTTCCTCTTCTCCATTTTCTAAAGAACAAATTATTTATGTAAGCAGATGACATATGGGTGCGTATCTGCCTGTTCTGCTAGGATAGCCTCCACGGTGGTTAAAGCAACAGCTTAGTGATAGAATCACTTTGGGATTTTAGCATGTAGAAGAGAAGTAGGTTCTGCTTCACTGGAAAACCTGTGGTTTTCCTGAGAGACAGGACTGTTTTCCATTTGTGCTAACAAGACTATGGTGAGCTTTGGAAGGCAAAGGTTTATTAGCATCTCCACTGTCACGCATCATACCACAGCAGCTCTTTCTTAGCATTCAGTCTCCCTACAGGGGCAACAGGAGACAGTAACTGCTCTGGCAGAAAGAAAATAGAGAAATAAAATAGCATTGTGAAAACCTGGTAGGAGTACTGGTCCTGCTTTGTAACCATTACCACAAATGGTTACCATGTGAACACTTTCTTTCCATAATGAGAAAGACTTTTTTTCTTATTCTGGGGGGTGTTTGGAGAATATTATTTCCAGAGAGAAGAAGGGGTGCTATACTGGTAAAGCTAGTAGTACATCTATACCAACAGAAAAATGCTGTTGAATTTTCCCTTGTGGATGAGTTTAAGAAAAAAGGTCTCAAGTTGATAAGAGAAAACAGGCCTTTACTATTTTATATTTGAGCTTTTTGCAGAATCATTTGATATCTTTGAGTCTATTCGGGAGGTAATATTCCTCTTGTTCTTTACATGCTCCTCAGGAACAGCTCAAGAGTGTTGGAAGCATTGACCAAGTTACTAAGTTAGTTAGAAACACAAATGTGTAAAAAAAAAGAAAACCGGACCAGGTGCTGGAACGAATGGGTGGAATTTATCCGTCTTTCTGATGGGTGTTAAGCAGGTGAGGATAAATGTAGCTGTGCTTGTCAGAAAATGCATTTCTTTGATATTTTACTCTATTTGTGTACTATTAGGGGAGTCCCACAGGAAAGCTTTAAGCTCTAATAAATTCTACGTACCAGATTACTTAACTAATCAAAACTTGCTCTGTAGCTTTTTATGAGTTACTTACATTTCTCCCAAGGCCTAACTCACGGGTGATTTTACTTTTCCCAACTCATAACCTTCTGCAGAGTGCTTTTTTATTTTTCATTTTTTAAGAGAAAAGCACAGGCTTCTTCCCCTGGGTTCACAGTGGATGGGGTGACCAACATATTAAGTTCAGCTGACTGTATTTACCTCTCAAAGAACAGCATTTTGCAGTGACTTCCTTAAGCCCAGCGTACTCGAAGCACGGATTACCCTATTGAAGCAACTCAGGAACAGGATTTATAAAAAGTTTATTTGACAAGGTATTTTTCTCAATTCCCTCTGCACATACATTAGCCATGGCTAAGACAGAAATTAATCTCTCACAGGTCAGCCCACTTTCCACATTACGTCATCCCATGTTTTTTCTAAACTTTTCAGCTGTGATGTCATGTTCTATTGCAACGTGATGAAAGTGATGTCATAGATTTGGGTTCCTTGGGGTGCAGGCATAAGATCAGTTGGGAGTCTGGTTCTTTTTTCAGGAACAGGAACATTAGGGGAAAATAAGATAAAGACTTGTAAGCATAAACCCAAGAACAGAAACTCCAGAGGGGAAAGACTTCTCTCCTGCCTGTGAAGGTGGGAAGGAAGGGAGGTGGCACAGAGATGGGCAGTTGCATAGCCCATTTATTGGACTTGGAAGGCTGATAACTCCTGCACCAAAAAAGAAAAGGCGAACAGTCCATAATTCAATAGCCAAGTTGGCTTATGGATCCAGATGTGTGTGCTGGTTTTCTTTGGTTGACAGTCTGACGGAGTTTGCTAGTGGGGAAGCTCTGCTTGCTGAAAAAGCTGGAGAGGGAAAGTGAAGTTTTCTGAGGGTTAGCAATAGGTATTCAGAGAGTGAAATTATTTCACAGTGGGAACTTGTGGTGTCTGGAGCACCATTTTGCTGCTTTTAGCTGGTACTAATGGGCTCATTGAGCCTCTGTGTGCTGAATGCAAGGTTCCTCCTCTGAAGGGTATAAAATTCAGATTCCAATCCTGCAAGTCTTTGAACATCCCACACATCAAAAAACACAAGAAGCTTGGGGCACAAAGCACATCACATTCACCTTCTGAATACACAGAGAACAAAACGCTTGATCCTCCCTGTTTTGATGTTAATGGAAGCAGGACTAGATCCATAACTGGGAAGAGTGATAGACTGCAAAGGTACAAAGCACAGGGAAAGGCAGAAATAAAAACAAAACCTTTGACAGCAACTGCACATAGAAAAGTTTCACTTGATTACAGTCTCATATTAAGATTACTCATTTTATGACATGACCTGCTTTCTGTCACCGTACTCTGGCTTCCTGTGTAGCGTAATGAGCTGAAACTTCACTGATGTCACTGGATATATTGCAGTTCAGCATCCAGCATCATGCATATTCCAACGCTTCATAAGGATCTTGTTTCACTTGTCTCAGTCCTCTCTATCACTGGTTCAATAAAACAGCACTTTGGCTTCTTGCAACTTTTACTTTCAGCATATTTCAAACTGACATCAGAACAGCACCCCAACAAAAGCCAGACCTTTCCATCTTTTAACAGTCCAGTGCTATTGCTATCAATAACATAAACACAGCGTACTAAAGCAATCATACAAGCAGGAGAGATTCCATTAACTAAGCTGGGCTGGAACTGTGTATTGCATTGCCTGCTGGCGCTTTCTGCCTGTCAGCTTAAAACTGCATCTGACTGCCATTGAACCCCTGCTACTCTCATCTAATGTGCCCCAGGTCCAGGGCTGGAGTGGAAAGAGAGGGAACTTTAACAGGCTTCTTTGTTTCCCTTTGCCTAGAGATGGACACAGTAAAGTCTTTCAGAGCTATTAAATTTACTCTTTAGTGCAAATACATAGTTCTTAACTCTGCTGCTATTAACAGCAGACTTTCTAGTTTACTAAACATTTACAAATTACTAAAGATAGATAGAGGTACCTTGAAGAAAAGTTTTGCAATACTCATTCTGATATCTTTCTGTGCAGTTAAACAATCTAGGCTATGAGCAAAGGTAAAAGCCAGGAATGCAACCCCCTCTGTGTAGCAATGAATTAGAGTGTCATTAAGGGCTCCACAACCTCCCCAAGCACGGAGCCTGGCTTCAACATGCCCTGTTGCTCTTCCCCACTACCCTGTTTAAAGACCAAGGCCAAATAAGCTTGTTCTGATACCAGAGACATATTTAGTCAGCACTGTCCGGACATTTATTTTTATTGAAAAGTTGCTCTGAAAAGACACAATAGCCAGAACATTAAGCAACAACAGACGTGAGATGATTGCAAATGCTCACTGTGATTACACAAAACCCAGCAGGTTGGCATAAAATTATACAGGTTTATCACAAAAGATGAGAATCAAAGCTTGAAGGAGCCCATGCTTGGGCTTTAATTTGACAAAACTTCCCCACTTTTACCCATTTGACTGCTTGCTTTCATGGCTTACATGAAATGCAGTGTTCTTCTAGGAGATGTGTAGCGTCTCATCTAGAAAGCTGTAGAGTACAGGGAAAGACCCTACACACCCATTCGGTCAATAGAACATATGTCAAACCTGCAAAAGGGGGTTCTTGGCTGAAGTCAGCTCTTCACTTGTTATTGTTGCTCCCAGTGCAGCACACTCCTCTCTGTGTCCTGTACACGTGTTTTCAATGTTGGTCTGCTCCCAGACATTTGTCACTAACTTCCAAACCCAGGGAGCCAGGGTCACTTCCGCATGATGTGCATTTCTCACTGCTGATTTGATCAAGGTTTAATAAATATCATATGGGACATAATGTGCCTCGTTTCGCTGGACACATGCTTTTTTCCATTCATTTCCCCAACTTATTTTAATAAGAGCTCTGTTTTTTCTATCCCACTGTTGGGAAGACATCTGGCCAAACAGACAGCGACCTAGTACAAAGGGATCCTGCTGGCTCACATGCTTTGGGGACCCCCTTCTCTGCAAACCAAGATGGTCACAAAAAAATATGCAAGTGAGACATCCCCCTGTTACCAGGCTTTGTAGTATTTGTTTTTATAGCATTGCATTCCAGTGACTGAAGACTTTGTTCTCACGCAGGGGGTATACATCTGCAGATTCCTTTTGGGCTCCAGATAAGCAGAGGTTTTGCTGGGGGAGGAGCTGGGGATTTTTTTCTGGTTTTTGTTGTTGTTGTTTTGTGTTTTTTAATAAGAGACTAAATATCTTTGCTCTTTGACATGGAGTAACCACCGTACAAAATGCCTGACTCCTCAACAATATTAGACTTTAGGAGCACATCTTTGAACACTCAAATATGATATGCACACATGTATTTTTGCTGAACAATTCTTTTAGAAGTATTTGCCTCTGTGTCCTTTTCTTGGCTCTTGCTGCAGGATCTTAGGTGGCCTCATAAAACTTCTGCTAGCAAATCAGTTTTGACAAAGATGCAATGTTCCCTTCATAACCCTGACAAAAAATGTACTGATAAGATGATTGAAGAAATGTAGTGCAGGAAATGAAAATACATACATTAGTTAGGAGGGGTTTTCCCCAGTGTGATTCATTGAAAAGAGATAATATCCCTTGAATTTTGGAAGGAAGATTGCAAGCTTAGTTTGCAGCCTTCAAATGATAAATTTCTCAAAGCTAACGTTTTCAAAACTGATGAGCAGTAGTTCTAATAGTTATATTTAAAGGAACCTGAGCAAACTACATCCATCTAGTTCCAACCCCCCTGGCATGGGAAGGTGTCCCTGCTTATGGCAGAGGGGTTGGAACTAGATGATCTTTAAGTTCCCTTCCAACCCAAACCATTCTATGACTCTATGACTCTGATTCAACATGTAGGTAGAAATCAAATACTGAGAGGTACTCAACCACGCAGAGTTGCAACAAGCTCCCAGTGGGTGC